TTTTTTTTTTTTTTTGTGTGTGTGTGTGTGTGTGATTGTGGGAGATTATTTGGGGGTTTCGTCTATAGCTATGTAGATTGTTTTTACAACTCTACTTCAGGCCCCTCATTGATTTTGCTTTGAGAAGGAATAATAATTGATTAAATCTGAATGCCTGACCTTTATTGATTTGTCATTCAACAACTTCAACATCTCACCAAGAAGAATGTGCAGTTATTCTAGCAGGAGAAACAATGCAATTAAAGACTGCGAGATGAAATCCAATTGTTTTATAATGAGAAATTAGGGAATTCAATGCAGACATTAGCTGTGTAATTGTAGGAAGGGAAGTACTGTAGTTAGAACATATTAGAAATCTGGCCATGCCTCTTTTGGTTAAAATTTCAATTAAAACATCAGATGGCACTTCTTTTCTATCACCATTAGGAGAATATTCAATTGAGTAAAAAGACATTTGAAAATTTCATCGTATTTTCAGCATATTTGTTTCTAGAGTTGGATAAACAACTGTTTGTCTGAAGAGAAGTACTGGGGAAAGACAAAGGACTCGCTGGGTGAGGCTGGATTTAGTGCATGTTGGGGAGATTTTCCTGGTGTGGTTGGGAGCTTTCACTCCTAGCAAAGTAGCTGGAAAAAATAATGCTCAAGTGCCTATTTTCTTCCCTTCTTCTCCGCCTTAAGTCCTGAAATGTTTTAGTGACCCAGAATGAAGCTTATTTTTTAAATCACGCTTCCATAAAATGTAACCCCTGGGACTTGGAAGAGAGAGACCAGCCAAGGGTTAGTCTGAAGCCTTTATCACTCCCAAACACAGGGGCTTAGGGTGTAAGTGACATGCTGCGGAGAGATTTACTTCTCCCATTTTAAATTTATGATGGCTGAAATGAAAGGAAAATGCCAGTAATAATCCTCCCCTGTGTTCAAAGACACGGAGCATCTAGTAATTAAGCGGTAACAAAATCTGGACATCACTATCTTTGCAAATCACATCAGGTTTGCGAAAGAAAGTGGAGCGGCCCTGTTAAGGAGTGAGGGAGGCTACCGTGGGGGCAGGCGCAGGAGAGCGCGCTCCGGAAATAAATCTGCCAGCCCCAGCCGTGTGCCAGATGTGGAGGGCACCATGGGATATGTTTAAATGAGCTGGTATTTAATGGGAGATTACGTTGAATTGTCAGCTGCTCTCTCCCCTTTGTAAATCTGTATCTCAAACGGGTATTTCCTGGGACGTCTTTGTTCTCTCCTTAACTGCAGCGTAATTTGTTCCTACCTTGGAGATCTGAATCTTAATTTCATTTAAAAGGTGAATTGGAAGGAAGGGCCTTGATCCGTCTGATTTTGTAGGCAAGGCCGTCCTGAAGTGTGCTACGCGAGGCTCGCTCCTGTCGCGTCGTCGGCATTGGTTTTCTGCCTTCTGATGATCCTTTGTATATGTTAAAGGGTATTCTTGCAAAATGATCGTCCCCCCAATCTGGTTTGTTTTTTACACTTTAACTGCCCCCCACGGCACGGGAGAGCCAGTGGGAGTACTGGGTGCACAGTCCCGGGAAGGCCCTTGCTTACAGCTCAAGGACGCAGAGCCCGAAACTGCGCTGTAAAATGGGAGTGTTGATATCTAATTACCTCCATAAACCTTGGCGAAATCTCTTCCTTGGAGTCAAGACCCCCTGGTAGGGGAAAAATAAAGTCCTATGTTTGCAGAAAATATTATACCAGACTGCCCCAAGGCAAAATATTTATGAGCCCCCCTGCGTCTCCGCTGTATGTTTGTTACTTATCTGGAGTCTGAGCGAGTGACTTGAGTTTCTGCATACCTAAAATACATCATATGAAAATGAGAACTTGACTTCCTTGCTGTGAAAAAATTTCAGATAACAATGGAAATAGAAAGAAAGAGCACGGCACTGGCTGAACAACTCTAAATGGGCACAGCTGTGTGGAGTGCGGAGTCGTACACATACACACCACACATACACACACACAGCTTCCAATGCAAATTCAGGCTTATTCTTTCAGCATACTAGCTTTTGTCTATATAAAATCCACCCTAATTACTTTAGTTTGGAAATTTAAAAATCCTCAGTTAAAGAAAAAAACGGGATCAGCGTATATAGAAATACAAGCGTACAAGCCAGAGGTCCCCTCAAACAGCCAGTGTTAATGTCCAGAGAGCAAATGTTAACACGCCAGTGTATTGGTAGGAGGATCGTTCTATTAAGACGTGATTACTTGGCTTTGTCAGTTTTTCAGCTTGAAAATAGAGTAGGCAGCCTTTGAAGAGTTGTTTTACTGCCTCTTGAGCTGAGAGGTGAGTAGGGTGGTTTTTCAGGAAGCCTGCCCTGGCTCAGAGGAATCAAAAGCCTTGCCCACACTTCCCACTCGCTGCAGCACTGTCAATACGAGCTAATCGAGCCTTAAAAATGGGTTTGCTGCCCAGGAGATGAGCGACGGGGCAGGAAACCAGGGGTCCACTCTGTGTGCAGAGTGGGCCTGATATTTGGCAGCTGTGCTTCCTTGAAACCTTGCTTCAACTTGGTTCCATGTAATTTCTTATTATGCTCCATGTATGTGTGTGTGTTTGCCTTGTTTCTAGATTGGGGGCTGTGCATGAATCACTTCTCTCTTTTTAGGAATTTAATCTACCCATTGTGTCCCCTGGTCATGAGACTTCTGCATTTTTCTTAAAAAAACAAAGCAGCGAGCTCATTCTAAACATACGAAAGTGCCACGGTCAAAGTGCCACATTCTCCATTCTCTCTAATGAAGAACACAGACGATCTGAACCTAATGGTCAATTTTGCCTTTAGAGCAAGGCTCGAATAAAGTTTTTTGTTATAAGGGAGACTTGCTTGGCCCTTAGTTTGTTCTCTAACTTTGTATTTAGTTTATACTATGTGCCCCTTGGACTCTTTTTTTGGGTCATAGCTCAACCGCACTGCTCATATTAAGGAATAAGCAGATCATTCCATAATTTTCATTTTACCTTTTGCTTTTGTTTCCCAGAGAAGCTATCTAGGTTACTCATGTACTTCCTTGTCACTCAGTGCAGATGCCCAGAGGTAATTTAATGAAGCAGACCAGGTTCTTAGCAAAGATGAGACCGTCATCCAGAAAATTTTGTTTTTATCCATTTTTCAAAGGGCAGTCACTACTTTGTCTCTATGTTGCTTTTTTGAAAGAAAGAAAGAAAGAAAGAGAGAGAGAGAGAAAGAAAGAAAGAAAGAAAGAAAGAAAGAAAGAAAGAAAGAAAGAAAGAAAGAAAGGAAAGAAGCAAACAGCTGGTGTTTAACGACTCCATCAGACCCAATTATAAAACATCAACTACTTACTTTGATTTGTGTGTATCCATGCCATGGGTATACTTAAAAACATTAGACTCTGCCAGAACTCATTTTGGCTTTGTTTATATTTGTCTTTTAAACGTATAAGACTATTGATGGCACCTCACCAAGGTTGTAACCCCTTTATAATCATTAATTTTTAATCTGGAAAAGAGTCTTGGAGGCAGCGAGACTCATCTATATATTTACTTGGATGCTTAAATGAAACTATACAGGACTCAAGCGTTGGCTAAAATAACCGAGGAAAGCCCCGTCAAAGGTTAGCAATGTGATGTCTTTTGGCTTCCAAAAGCAGCTGCCCTTTTTAAAAGATGCTTTTGCATGTAATTTAATTATCCCTGAACTTCCTGTTGGAGGTTTTGAGAAATATATGTTAGAGACGGGGGGTGTTCAGCATGTTGAGACTGCTCCATTTAGGAGTTTGGGCCTTTAATTAGTCTATCTTTGAATCCAGTTGGTTTATATGGTTAAATCACCATTCTTTGTTTTTAAGGTTGACTTTGTTTCAGTATTTGCACAATCGGGTTTTCAGTGGTCTTGTAGTTTTGCAGACTTCCAATAAAAATTAAGAAGCTGTATCAGATGTCAGAGATTGGCTGCTTCATGTCATATTTTCTGTTTTTTTTAGATTTACAGATATTAATGATTCCTTGGGAAAACTAGACTTCAGCCGCCTCTCTCCATCTAAAAACGACTACTGGGCCATGCTGGCTTACAACCGGTCCAAACTCTGCAACATTCTCTTCTCCAACGAACTCCATCGCCGCCTGTCCCCTCGAGGGGTCACGTCGAACGCAGTGCATCCAGGAAACATGATGTACTCCTCCATTCATCGCAACTGGTGGGTGTACACGCTGCTGTTTACCTTGGCCAGGCCTTTCACCAAGTCCATGGTAAGTGAGCGGCTTCTGTGGCCACAGACACACTCACTGTGCCTTTAGGAAGGGTCCTAGAGAAACCCAGGCGCGTTGTCTTCAGCCTCTTTCCTCTTGTCGTGACGAGTCTGGTCTTGCTAATCACGTCATTGAGCCTGTTAAAGCCATTGGAAAGGGCCCTTGAACACATTTCAGTCGACTTCAGATTACACCTGTTTCTCTGAAGGTGTCTCAGAGGATTGGATAGAGATGTAGTTTTTCAATATTGTGTTGGTATGGCTCAGAGTCTTGATGGTGATGATTGGTTTTTCTTCCGATGTGACTTATTTGTTTATTATTATTCAGAAAGTGCAGTACTTGGAAACTGTGTCTTGCGTTAGTAGGTGGAACACGTGGACTTGTGGCCGTTGAGCCACCAGCTGGGGTGATTCCTTTGTTTGCACTGAGGATCTGTATCTGATGCCTACATTCTTTTCTTAGTGGGTGTGAGCCTCGCCTGGGGCACGTGTTTTATTCTTCACTTCCCCAATGCTGAATTATTTTGGGTGAATCACACTACTGCAGTTAGATTTAGAAGTGTTCGCAGAGGTAACGATGACATTTTTATGTTTTTGATGGTCATATAACAACCATAACTAGAAACTTCCTCCATGAAATCATTTCAGTAAGAAGTAACTTAAAAGAAGAATGCACATTTTAGACAATAAATGTGGTGCAGTATTTTTCTAAACCACAAATTTTAATCTGGCTATTTAGTATGGTAGCCAATGGCCATGTATGGCTATTGAGCCCCTAAAAAATAGCTAATATGGATAAGGAATTACATTTTTATTTTTATTTGATTTGATTTACTTTTAATGTAAATAGTGGCATGTGCCTAGCGGCTACCCTGTTGGAAAGTGCGGTTAAATAATGCGCTTAGCACAGCGCCTGTTGTATCGTAGGTATGCAGCGCTTCTTGCCATGATGGTTGTTATTTTTGTCCTGAATATTACTTTGGTTCTGAACAGTGTTTTCCAAAATGCAATTGCTGCTAATGGATATAGGGGTCATGGAACTAAAGAACTCTGTAAATTGGGAGTCTGCTGGTGGTGGGTGGGGGACCAAAGGCCCAGGGAGAGGGTACGCAGGTGAAGAGAGTTTGGTTCCAACCTGTACACTTGGTCCCTGCAGAAACCATTGTTGGAGTATACTTTTCGTGTTCTTGTTCCAAGTGATTGGAAAACAGCATCTTTAAAATGTCACACATGCCCGGCCAGGCGAGACTCAGTGGTTGAGTGTTGACCTAGGATCCAGACGATCAGGGTTCGATTCCCAGTCAGGGCACATGCCCGGGTTGAGGGCTCGATTCCCAGTCGGGGGCGTGCGGGAGGCAGCGGATCAATGACTCTATCTCATCATTGATACTTCGATTTCCCTCTCTCCCTCTCCTTTCCTCTCTCTGAAATCAATAAAGATATATTTATTAAAAAAAAAAAAGTCACACATGTACTTTTTAGATAAGCTTGTGACTTAGGAAGACTATGAAATACGTAGCTAAATTTAGATACTTAGGAAAATTCTAATAGTATCTTTACACATTTAGGTATTTGGTGGTATTTCCTAGCCATTAGGGTTCCATATGAATAGGTTTATAAAGAGGTGGAGCGGGAACGACTGACATACTTGTCAAACTCACAGCAAGCACTTTTCTTTCATAAGCATTTAGGACTCTGTTTCCCGAGGAGCACCCAGCATGCATGTAGACCTGGGACCACTGTGTTCCACTGGTGGGGCCAGACGGGGCTCACTGGAAAAGCCACCGTGTGTTTCAGCCTTCTGGCTGTCGCTTATTGTTGCTTTTACAGTGAGAAGACTTTTGTTTCAGGGGTGAAGGGTGCACTTTCGCCGTTGTAATGCAAACACGTTTTTGGAAGTAGGCCAAGCAGTTGCGTTCCCATTCCTACCCCTTGTAAAAGTTGGATCCCTAAATGCTCAGGAGGAAGCTCAGGGAGATCACCAGATGGCTAGTGTTCTGTGGGCTTTGTCACCTCTTCTGCATTTTATTTCAGAGAAAGTGTTTTCCTTTGGACATGAGTGTTGCTGGAGTGTATATTCCATTGTACAAGGTCAGGGAAATCAGAGACACCCCCCGGCCTTGTGCTTGGAAGCCCTGCCTTTGCTTCTCCACTATAGCCTGCTCCCTTAAGCATTAAACAGCAGTATCGTAATATCAATGTCCCTTTTTTATTTGCTGTGACTTGCTGTGACTATGGTGATTTTAGTTACAGTAATTAGGTCACCCTTCATGGAGTCAGGCTATTTTAAGTGCCTCTTTAAGGAATATTGTTGCAGATCAGTAATTTTACAATTGGATGTTCTTGTGTAACTTTATTAAATGTAATCTGTCTTTTAAATGTTGCCCTTTTACAGTTATACATTTCTAATTGTTGCTGTAAATGCATTATCACTTTGAAATTAATTAATTTTTCCATTTTGGCCGCCTGCAGTATAATAATCACTAATGAGAAACTCATAGGGACTAATTCTCAGCACAGCGACCCCCACTGGTAACGCTGTGTCTCTGCCACCACTTCCTCTTGAGGTCTAGAGGACAAGATAGAGTCCTGGGGGTCCTGGGGAGAGAGTTGTGTTCCCCCACCCTCTAATTTATGATAAAATAACAATAGTAGATAAAATGGGAATATGATTTTTTAATGTTTAAAAAAATGCAGGACTCTTCAACTAGCTGCTTTTGCAGCACCTTCAAGGAAGCTGAAGTTTGCTGGGAGCCTTTAAATAATGAAGTCACACCCATCATGTGTGCGTTATATGTCTATTTTCCTGTCTCTGTGCAACTTTCTGTTTCGTTTTATGCAATTGAAATATTCTAAAATTATATTTTGCATATGTATTCATAAATATATATTATATGGTAGTGTATATGATATATTCATACACACATACTGCTGTATGGGGCCTGATTCACAAAACCAGGCATATTGTATCCTCAGGGATAATTTTGGCTATTTGCAATTGTTGCCCAGTGGGATTCCTTTAGATTCCTGGTATCCTCTCAGGTAAGATGAGGCTCCACAGTGCAAGCCAGGCACCATAGGCTTCATATACCATCATATAGATCTTCATGTATCTCACAGCCTTTCTGCAGTGATAGAGTTGATATCCTTATTTTGCATTTAAAAACACAGAGAACTTACCCAGCTTGTTCAGGCAAATGGTATTTCAGCCTCAGACCCTTTGCCATCTATTCCCAAGTCCACTTTCTTTGTCAAGTGCCCCGCAGTGCCCCTGCCACATATATCTAGTTGTGCAGTTATGTTTTCTTCTTAACATGTTTGAAAGAGCCTTCGTAAAATTAACCCTCCACCCCTCCATCTTCCCCGCACATAAGCTTTCACTTCTGGTAAACAACAGCTTAGCTGGAGTTCCTAGGTCCCAGCCAGCCCTTTGCGGATCGGTATGTAAATTTGAAGCCGAGCACCATCACGTGCCTCTTCGGGTGTTTTGTGCAACCAAATATTTGTGTTGGCAGGTAACAGTAGAAAGAATATCATGTGTTAGGGTAGCAAGAGCTTAGCAGATGTTTTAGGGAACTGCATTTTCAAATCATTTTACATTAAAAAAGAGCTAGAACTTTTGAAACGATTGGGTTACGTTTCCTGTGGCCCTGTAAAGCCAGGCATTGTGCTGAGTTTTAACAGATGTGCAGCTACCCTGCTAATGGATGGGCCTGCAATGCTGGTTCTGTTGCAGAGTTATAAATTAAACCAGAAAAAGCACAAGATGTCATTCTTCTAACCTTCGGGAAAGCCAAGCCGGGTAATTCTGCCCTTGAATAACCTGCTGCTGGGTGATTTATAGTTGGACAATTTAAAACATAATGAAGGAGATAATAGATGTTGATTTGTTCTTTAAATTAGGATTTTAGAAAAATACTTCTCCCCCCCCTCCTCTTTAAATACCTGCAGCTGACTACACTCTAGATACTATCAAGGGCACCCCCCCATTTGAATTTCATTCTTGGCACATTGGAGTAGAAAGCAGGGGCCTGTTTCTGTTGGGAGGAGGAAATAGGATTTTCAAAGTAAAAATTTCAACATATTCTTGATTAGTCTAAATATTTTGAGACTCCCTGGTGAGGGGTGATTCTCTGGCTGCCCTGCTCTTGCCAGTCCAGATACTTTAGAGAAGCAGACTCCTAGGGTTCCTCAGTGGTCCGGCCACACTCGAGCTTTCCTGCAGACCCCCACAGAAGGTCCTGGTGGCCGGGCTCTCCTCCTTGCTGAGGCCACATTCCCCACAGCTTCAACATCCTTCTTACTTCCAGTATTAGCATTAGCCCTGGTTTTATTAGTCATGGCTCAATTCTGTCCGTAGTTTTACAGTTTACAGTGTTTGCTCAATTCCGAGTCCAAGGGGTATGGTAGAGCGAAAAGGAGCGAAGGGTTTAGAATCATTAGGCCTGTATTTAAAACTCAGGTTTCCCCTCTTTTTTCGTTGTATACTTTTGAAATTATTCAGCCTCTCTGAGGCTCATTTTCTACATCAATTTATGTGTTTTGGACTGCGAGTTATTAAGATGTAGTTAAAAGTGGTTGGGATAATAGAGATCTGTTTTTCTCATAAATCCAGGTGCCCTGAGGTAGCCAGGGGTGTGTCTGGCTACTATATAGGCAGCCCCTTTGTGATTGTCTTGCCTTTTTCCTCATGCTTATAATATGGCTGCAGCAGCGCCAACCATTGTATCCTATGGGATAGGTCTGAAGACAGGATGGGTGGGATGGGGCCCCTCCTTGCTTGCCTCTGTCTGAGAATTACCCTCCCCAGAAGACTTCCTCTCAGCTCCCACTGGCCAGGATCGAGTCACTTATCCATCCTAGGTGCAGGCGACGCTGAGAAAGTACCTTCCTAGAGTTTTGTGTCTCTAGGGTGGGAAGCGAGATCTGATGGCAGGAAAAAGGCACTATTGACTGAACAGGTATGTGTATAGTTCTGTCACTGTCAAGTGGGAATGCTAT